AGGAGCTGACCCAAAGCGTAGACTATACTCAAATAAAAAATAGTCCTAAATTTTCCAAGTACAGAATCCGCAAGCATTGCACCAAGTAACGGAAAGAAGTACACGAACATCGTGAAAATGTGATAAATGACAGTAGCCGTGTTATCACTATAGTCCAATTTATTTTTAAGGTACAACGCCAGAATTGCTGAAAAATTACCATCAAGAGTTATATTCTTCACATCCCAACGCATCCTTGAACATTATTTCTTCTGTATTACGTACTTCGCATTCCATAGTATGAGAATCTCTCGCAGAACTCATTAGTGACAATGAAGAATACCGACTTTGGATACTTGAGTTTCTGGAACAACAGAGATCGTCAGTGTGCAATTAGAATTTTCCATGCTTCATATCATTGGGATAAGAAAATTTTATCCTATCAATAAATCAACAACTATGCGCATATTCTAGCAATTTATCAATAATACTAAACTGCAACTGCAAAAATTAGATTACAACTGCACGATTGTCATGGATTCACTAAATCCCGACATTGTGGACCGATTTTTAAACAGAAATGCACTTCCAATATTGGGTGCATCCCAGAAGTAAACGTTTCATGTAAATCTTTATATTTAATATACTGACCAATTCACAGATTATACACGAACGCATTCCTACACGCATTAAATTGTATACGCATTTCTACTACGCATTAAATTTTTTCATGACCTAATCAGGTACAAAAACTCGTTTTATCGTCATTTAATCGTTATGGTTATAATCGTTATTTTATATTATATATTTTATATTATGAATGAGCAGCGATGTCTTTTGGAGGCAAAATATATTTGCATACAAAATATTGCACAGAGGACTTCACCTTCGGAATACATGACCCATCACTTACTCCATGAAATCGAAAATCATTTTAATCCAATGAAAAAATCCACGGTTATCAATTACCTCTTAAGCATCTCGCCGCGTTAAAAAAAAATTATAAATCACATTAAAACGTCCAACAACACAGGTAAACTACTACGCACGTGCTAGTGCTGCTATTGCTATCTAACTTACACAATCATTATGCACATTCTCGTTTACTTAATAGAACTTCATACTTCCAAGGTAGTAAGCATTATTTTAATATTGAGTGATTCTGACAGTTTTATGAGTGAATGCCTCAATCTGAGAATACCAGCTGAGATGAACTTCAATAACCCCAGCGGGTGTTCTAAATTAAGTATACATAAGAGAAAGCATTGGCTAGTACATGGCAATGACCCCCTAAGCGATGATGACAATACTATCACGTGTGCTGATTAAAGATAAGCATTACATAGCGAAATGATAAAACCATCGAAAGTCAGTTGAACATACATGACTGCGTTAATTTTAATTCATCAAGAAGGTTTACGTATTGTCACTACTTAAAATCTTTAAATGACAAGATTGAAGAGTCCATACACAGCCATGAATTAACATTAATATTATCACTGCAAAAAATATTTTATACATATCACTGTCACCACTTAGCGATTTATTGTTTTAACTGGATACACGTTATGCCACGTAATTTCATATTTCATTGAATCATGTTCATTTACAGGAGTGATTCAGACATATGCACTTCGATGATAAAGTAATCGAAAGTAATTGAATGTAATCTCCATCCATATTTCCAACAATTTTTCTCTTTCAATAAAAGTCCCATTAATCAGTACCTTTTTTATTTTTTCTTCTGCTTTGTCCTGCATCATTGCACTGTTCATGCGATTCGATAATGGCACGCGAATTTAACTCGTTAGGTACTTCGCACACAGCGGAAACACAACTGACGATGTGTACCACAATGCAGGCAATTGGAACGCTGTACGCAGTATTCAAGTCGACCGGTTTAGTGAACGACAGGAAAAAGAAGCTATTTTTTTAAAGAGAGGGGACGGTGACGTCTACACGTCAACTTGGTGAAGATTCAAGCCGTTCTTTTCCAATAATCCGTATAATTGCCGTACAACGCGGTCAGCTTCAACAACGTGACCTGGAAATCATTGCACGGAATTCATTTGATAGAGAGTAGAGAAAGTGGAAGTCATCGACGGACTTGCTGAGCGAATTAACATTTCAAAATAACAGCTCACGAAGTGTGAATTGGCATTAACATGAGTAATATACAATATTTCATCACTAGG